CCTCCTTGTGAACTTCAAGAAACCTTAGTTGTCATGCATACCGAGCCCTTCCTGGAGTGATACTNGATTTGCTTTCAATATTTGTTTCTTGATCCTATTCGTAACTGATCTTATGTGTACGGTTCATTACTATTGACGCTCTTTACATGTTTTTTTACAAGTATCCTCGGCAAAGAGAGACCTGTCGTCGCCGCACATGTGCTTCCAGACTCTCTTTATGACCTTCAAACTGCAACACAACCAGGCATAGTCTGGTAAAGCTTATAGGGCTCTTGTTATACGCTGTTGCTTCCAATTAACTTGGCATCAATTCTGCTTTACCTTTTTTTACCATGAATACTTCATGCTCCATCAATAACAGAAACAGGTGCCAGTATCTAGTTAAAATTCAACCCCCATTTCTGTTCAACAGTACTGGAAGCAATATGCTTGTTCTTTAGCCATCCGTGCTCCAGTGGTGCTTACGTTAAGGAAGTCTTACTCGTCATTCCGCCTTAAAAACTGGGTACCAGAGACATTCTCTTCAAGATATCGGCATCTTGCTGATTGCGCATTGCCTGTTCCTATCTGCTCAGCCTCCTCTTCCGAATTACTAGGGCTCGCGCCCAAGTTCACCCGGTGGGCGGTTTTCTAACTTCATCGCCTCCTTGTCCTTTTCTCTTGTTAGGAGTCGCTTACGGTCTCTTCACATCTCACACCACCTACCGAGAGCCCAATCCTCCATTGTTATTACTAAGTAGGTGACAGATTCTGCGGCTCTCGCCATCTGAGACTCCTTATCAGCTCCTATCAAGTGTTATCACCTTCAGTGTTACCATCAGTGTTCCCATCTTGCCCGCTGTATTCCTACCAAATTTGATCGCTTTAGGTTCCAATTTACAATTTTGCGCAAACCCCGCCTCCTGTGGGTCGGAACCCACCTACTTCCAAGAGTGTTCCTATCCTGTCGTCTGTACTCCTACTGAATTTGATTTCTATAGAACACACACACATACACACATTCTCACGCCCACAGTTACATACACACACTCACAAACACTGATTCGCAGTCACGTAATCACACACACACATTCGCACTGGAACACAGACCCACACTCACACGTGCTCACACTCCCACCACACACACACACATACACATACACATACACATACACATACACATACACATACACATAC